TCATTAAAATTAAATGTACACATCAATACCAAATTCTTGGCAAAACTCCTATAAATCAAATATTGAACTTCGCCAATTTGGTATTCTGAAAAAAATTCTCATAAAAAAAAATTAATTTATGCAAATGTTATGTTGTGATTTGTTAAATGTAATCAAGTTGTTTGGTTTGATTTTTTAGAATTCACTTATCAAAAATAAAAATGAAGTATTTCGTATTTTTTGTTGCACTTAATTATTATTCAATTTCTAAGCAATTTATTTAAGTATTAGATACCCCTAACAAAAAAAACACTGTAAAAAGAATCTTTACAAAATTAAATAGCAAAAATAAAAAATAAATAAATAAAATATTAATCAATGCAATATATTTTTTGTATTGTTGTGTAATTATTTTGTCATATATTTTGTTGAATGATGCTTGGAACCCCTTTTTGGGGTTCACCCCCTCACCCCCTTTGTCACGTGGCGGGTGATGATTAGAGGAGCAGGCAAAAAAAGAAAAAGAAAAAGAAAATGTAACCAATGAGAGAGAGGGGAGGTCAAAGGGGGTGGGAAAAAAGGGGAATGAATCATTGTTGTATTTTGTTACGTACTTTGTCCGTACATAAAAGAGGTCTCTCTACAGAAGTACTGTTCTTCACCTAGACTATGTGATAGCAGTCCAGTTAGAGCATTTGCGCTCTTCAAAATCATTTTTTACCTAAAAATTTTAAAAGATCAATTTCATCAAACTTTTTTACAATTTGTTAAAATTTATGATAGTTACAGTAATTCATTATAACAAGTGAGGTACTGTTTATTGTTATTTGTGTATTATCGGATGTCCGCCCAGAACTCTGGCCAGTCAACAGCAATTTTTTTTTTTTTTTTTTTTTTTGCTTTTTTTAAAAATTATTTGGCCGGTAACTTATCAATTTAATAAAAAAAGAAAAACTAACAAACACGATACGAAAATAATATTTAACAACAATAAGTTAAAATAAAAAATTTGATCTAATGAGTGCTAAAAAGTGAGTAGCTAAAATAATGAAATAACTTTAATCTAACTAAAAAGTAAAGAATTTGGTATAAATGCTCTTATATGCAGGTTTTGACATAAAAGAGCCGTTCAGACAGAAATTAGAAAAAAAAACAAAAAACAAAACAAAACATAACAAAAAACAAAAAACAAAAAAAAGGAGTAAAAAGGTCATTTGACCTCTGATGTGTCACAGATCACGTGATTGCTACATAGCCATAGGTGTGTAGGGTAAAATTATAAGTTATTTTATTTTATTTTATTTTATTTTTGAATAATTTTTTTAAATTTTTAACTAAAATACTCGCGTGCCAAAAGAGACCTTAATTTTTATAAAGTCACATCTGTTTGATTTAGGGTTAGTTTGGCATGTACTAAATAAGCCAAAAAGTCAAAAAGTCACTATCTTATTTAAGTCACATCATCTTGTTTAAATCATATCACCTCTCTAACACATCACATCAAACCCAACCCAAACCCAACCTAAACCCACCAATAAGTCAAAAAGTGCACTTTTTTATGACATCCCAAACCAACCCTTAGAGTTTTTAAAATTTAATTTAATTTTTCAATATTTTAGGTATTTTTTTTTGTACATTTTAGATCCATTTAATTTAGATACATTTAAAAAGTACAAAATTTGTAATTTTCAAAAATTACCAAAAAAAAAAAAATTCAGTATATTTTGTATTTATTAATTTTTTTTAAAGATTTCTTCACAAATATTTAAGTACATCTAGATTAAGTACATCAAAAAAAAATTGCCTAATCTATAAAAATAAAATAAATAAATAAAAAATTTATGATCCCTAATATAAGTTAAAGACATACAATATTTTCATAATAGTGAACGTCTCTCAACATTTCTATAAAGAAAATTCGACTCAGGGAAATTTTATCTAACTCAAATAAATTTCGCTCCGACTCAGAGAGATTTCAATTTTCACTGAGGAATATGAAGTATTCCGTATTTTTTGTTGCACTGAATTATTATTCAATTTCTAAGCAATTTATTTAAGTATTAGATACCCCTAACAAAAAAAACACTGTAAAAAGAATCTTTACAAAATTAAATAGCAAAAATAAAAAATAAATAAATAAAATATTAATCAATGCAATATATTTTTTGTATTGTTGTGTAATTATTTTGTCATATATTTTGTTGAATGATGCTTGGAACCCCTTTTTGGGGTTCACCCCCTCACCCCCTTTGTCACGTGGCGGGTGATGATTAGAGGAGCAGGCAAAAAAAGAAAAAGAAAAAGAAAATGTAACCAATGAGAGAGAGGGGAGGTCAAAGGGGGTGGGAAAAAAGGGGAATGAATCATTGTTGTATTTTGTTACGTACTTTGTCCGTACATAAAAGAGGTCTTTCTACAGAAGTACTGTTCTTCACCTAGACTATGTGATAGCAGTCCAGTTAGAGCATTTGCGCTCTTCAAAATCATTTTTTACCTAAAAATTTTAAAAAATCAATTTTATCAAACTTTTTTACAGCTCGTCAAAATTTACGATGGCTAAAGTAATTCATTACAACAAGCGAGACACTGTTCACCGCTATTTGTGTATTACCGGATATCCGCCCAAAAGTCTGGCCTGTCAATGGCAAATTTTTTTTTTTTTTGCTTTTTTTAAGAATTATTTAGTTGATAACTTATCAATTTAATAAAAAAAGAAAGACTAACAAACACGATAAGAAAATAATATTTAATAATAATAAATTAAAATAAAAAATTTAATATAATGAATGCTAAAAAATGAATAGTTAAAATAATAAAATAACTTTAACCTAACTAAAAAGTAAAGAGTTTGGTATAGATGCTCTTATATGCAGATTTTGACATAAAAGAGCCGTTCAGACAGAAATTAAAAAAAAAAAACAAAAAACAAAACAAAACATAACAAAAAACAAAAAAGAGGAGTAAAAAGGTCATTTGACCTCTGATGTGTTACAGATCACGTGATTGCTACATAGGCATAGGTGTGTAGGGCAAAATTATAAGTTATTTTATTTTATTTTATTTTTGGATAACTTTTGTAAATTTTTAACTAAAATACTCGCGTGCCAAAAGAGACCTTAATTTTTATAAAGTCACATCTGTTTGATTTAGAGTTTTTAAAATTTAATTTAATTTTTCAATATTTTAGGTTTTTTTTTCTTGTACATTTTAGATCCACTTAATTTAGATACATTTAAAAAGTATAAAATTTGTAATTTTCAAAAATTACCAAAAAAAAAAAAATTCAGTATATTTTGTATTTATTAATTTTTTTTAAAGATTTCTTCACAAATATTTAAGTACATCTAGATTAAGTACATCAAAAAAAATTGCCTAATCTATAAAAATAAAATAAATAAATAAAAAATTTATGATCCCTAATATAAGATAAAGACATACAATATTTTCATAATAGTGAACGTCTCTCAACATTTCTATAAAGAAAATTCGACTCAGAGAAATTTTATCCAACTCAAATAAATTTCGCCCCGACTCAGAGAGATTTCAATTTCACAGAGAAATTTTGAAATTTTTTTGAGTCGGGTGAAATTTCTCTGAGTTAGGTAAAATTTCTCTGAATAAAATTTTTATTGTAAAAATGTTGAAAGACCTTAGTTAATAATAAAAAAAAAAACTTGAACATCTCCTACTACACAAAGTTGGAAAGAAATATTTCACTAATTTTTTCAAAAAAAAAAAAAAAAAAATCACTAAAGGCAACAAAAACACCATGTATCTAAGTCCAAACTGTGGGCTAAGGGACAGGCAAGTTTTGGGTTCAATTTTTCAATTTAAAGTGGCGACGAAACCTAGAGTATATTTGGGAGCAAATATGAATTTTTCCGGCAAGTCAAAAACAGAATTGTTTCAAATCACTGATCGATAAAATTCATACGAAGTTGAAAGGTTGGAAATGCCGTGTGTTAAATTTTGCAGGTAGGTGTATTATGGTTAAGCATGTGATGCAAGCAATTCCTATTTATTTGTTGTCAATTTTAAAAATCCCTAGTTTGATTCTCAACAAAATAACGGCAATTATTCGTTGGTTTTTATGGTCATTATTTTTTGCTTGTTCTTACAAAAAAAAAAAAAAAATTTACCATGGTACGAAGACTATCAACTAATCAAGGATGCTTTAAAGTATTTGTAGTGTAGAGTGGTCCAAATGCATAGTTTTGATTTGGTAATATTGAGAATGTGAGATTAATATTGAGAATGTTATTCCTTTGTCTAATAGTTTGAGTTTTTAAATGAGTTGGTGATCAACACTTTAATATGACATCAGACTAAACAAAAGATCATGTGTTCAAACTCACCATTTACCCAATAATTAAAATATGTTTGCACGTATTTAGTCCGCTACGAATAAAAGTCCGGCCACAAGCGAGAGAGCGTGTTGAGAATATAATATTAATAATAAAATTATTTATATCTCTAGTAGCTTGAGCTTTTTGATGAACGGGTGGTCAACAATTCAATTGGTAACAACTTTTTTTGTCTTTTTTTTCTTCCAAAATTTGGTCCATTTATGTAAAATTTTAGAATGAGAAATTTGAAAAACAAAAAATAGAACAAGCACAGAGTAATGTGATTCAATCAAGATGGCGTACATCCACAAACAATGACATAGGCCAACATCCTAGCTAATCAAGGGAGCATTTCGTTTGTTGGATTTCACAGTTTTTTCAAATTTCCAAACTGTATTGCTTTGCAATTGTATGATGATGCTCGAGGGGTCACTTCACCTTAGAACCCGTAGATTTAGACCCAGTAATTAATTATCAACTGATCGATCATCTTCTTAACATATTACTGGATCTAAAAAATAGATCTAAATTTTAAACCTGAATAACAATACACTATTTATATATATATAGTGGGGATATAATTATATCCCTTCAACTAAAGGATTAATATGAGCCGTAAAATTTTTGATATAAATCATGAAATCTACGCATCTTTAACAACTTAAATTGTTGATATCTTTGACAATAATATTTAACAGTTTATTGGTTTACTTTAGTTTTTAGAAAATAGTGAGATTCATAATATGTTGTCTGTCTAAATAATGGAAAGAAATGTTATAACATTACAAGAATATTGCATAATAGTAGTCACATTTTAATTGGAATGGCCTTGAGAGGAATGGCCTTTTGTAAAGTAAGTCCAAATTTATCACTCATGTCCATATCTTCTGGTTCCATTCCTCCTCCAAGCTTCCAATCAAAGGAGTGGATAAGAGAAGCCAACATGAAATGCACCATCCGATACCCCAACGGGAGTCCTGGGCACATCCTCCTTACTGCACCAAAAGGAATGAGCTCAAAATCTTGGCCTCTCATGTCAACTTCAAGGTCTAAGAACCTTTCAGGCTCAAATGAATTTGGACGCAACCATATGCTCGAGTCTCGCCCAATAGCCCATACATTAACAAGAACTTGTGCATTCTTAGGCACCATGAAACCACATATTTCTACATCGGCTTCAGCTTTGTGGGGAATTAGTAATGGTCCTGGTGGGTGTAACCGAAGGGTTTCTTTTACAACTGCTTGTAGGTAAGGGAATCTAGAGATGTCTGATTCTTGTATTATTCCATCCTTGCCAATGACTTCTTTGAGCTCAACTTGAGCTTTTGCCAATTTTTCAGGTTTTTGTAGTAACTCTGCCATTGCCCATTCCACAGTGCTTGAAGTTGTATCTGTCCCTGCAAGAAACAAATCCTAATCCAAAATAAAATTAGACCTTAGCCTTCATAAACAAACTACATTACTCCCTCTGTTCCAGAATAATAGTTCTTTTTGGGGAATTTAACTTTTTTTTGATCATGCAATTAGTGCACTTTAAAAAAATTGATTTTTCAAAATTACTCTTTGATAGTATTTTTTTGGAGAATATCAATATCATAATTGTACTTTTTATGTTGTTAATGAATTTAAAAGAAAAGCAAAATAGAAAATTTATATTATTTTTGTACTTGATTTTTAAAAAGGGATTAATATTTTGGGATAATGAAAAATAGAATAAGGGATTAATAGTTTGGGACGGAGGGAGTATTTTGTTTTGGAAACACATATTTAAGTAACTATGATTGGATGCAATGTGTTTATCACTGAATCTAATGTAGAAGCTGAAAATAATAATGACGAGTCTATCTTTTATGGATGGTATAATAATAAACGACAGTTGAAATTGCAGAAATGAGTTATTTTGTACCAATAGGATGTGAGTAAGCCAAACACTAAGAATTATTAGGAATTAAGACTAATTTGTATTTTAATCGTGCAATAGTCTATGAATTTCGTGTTTGTTGTCCACTCGTAACTCTAAAACCTTCATACTCCTTTTGATTAGTGGTAGGGGTACAATGCAATGGTGTAAGAGAATTTTTATTTTTTTATTTTTATCAAAATAACTCAATCAAGATTGCAAAGAAAGATAAGGTGTCGCCATCCTCTAAAGAAAGCTTTATATAAGCTCGAACGCCGAACCTCCCTTTTGGAAACCAAAAGGATACAACTACTTGAGCTAAGCACAAGTTCAAGTTTATAGGATCTTGCTTTGCAACCCTTACGGCTCATTCAGACACCCTTTGGGCAAGATTCAAATAAAGCCCTTGGAACTTGGCTCTCTGTTCTGTTTTTGATAAATGTTTTGACTCCAAAAACTTCAAGACTAACGTATGGTTAATTAGGTCCATTTTTTGTGCAATTTAAAACAAATGTCCTTATTAACACTAATGCAATATGCTCATGCAAAGCATTCATGTGTAACAATCTCAAACTCTCAGAGTAACCTATCAGCCCCATTACAACAAATCTCAAGTTTTGTTTATGAAATTTTTCAACACATTAACAATGGCAATAATAAGATCAAACATAATGAAAATAATAGCAATCATATGCAACATTAATAGAATGAAAAAAGGAAATGAAAATAAAAGAAATGTCATGGACATCAAATTATTCCTAATGCCACAAAAGCACGAAAATGAAAAATTCAAAGAAAAAAGAAAAACAAACAAAGTTATATATGTAAATGAATGAAACAAACATTTGAGCATTTGTTACTTACAAGAAGGAAGTGTTTTATGTCACTACTGCTCAACTGGGTACCATTTTCTTTCTTGAGGTTGAGCAACACGTCTAGCAAATCACCGGTAGTCGGAGAAGACACAGAAACTCTTGAATGCAACCTTTGATTGATAATCCCATCAAATATATCAAATAACCTTTGAACACAGCGTTTCATCTGCAAATGCATACCTTGTGGGTCTATGAATCTAAGCAATGGAAAATAGTCTGCAAGATTAGGCTTCCCAGCAAGTTCCATGATAGCCCATACCAAACCCTTAAACTCTTGAGAAGAGTCAGAGCTATGGTGAGTCATGTCAATTGAGAAGAAGGTGGTTGATAGCAAATTAAGGGTTGTTGTAAAAGCAGCCTTCCCAATATCCACTTCTTGGCCATTGTCACAATTTAGTTTCACATGGTCAAGAAGTTCTTGTACCTTTTTTTGCCTAAGGCCTTGGCCGACATCAAGGCAATGGGTAGAGAACATGTGTTCTTTGTATATCTTCCGAAGGCTTCGCCAAGGGCTTGACACAGGCAACCATACCATGGAAACCTTGTCATGATCGAATACCTGGCCGGTGTGTGGGATTGTTCGGCTAGAACAAACTTGGTCATGTTTTTGTAACACTTCTTTGGCAATACTTGGTGATGATACAACAATGGTTTTTATTGTCCCAAGCATGAGGTACATTAATGCTGTGTCTGGTTGGGGGATTTGAGGAGGGATTTGGAAAGGAAAATGGAAAAGATAGGTGAAATGTGAATAAAACATACCTATATTTCACATAGTTTCACACACCTTTTCCCTTTCCTTTTCCAAATCTCTCCCCAAATCCCTCAACCAAACACAGCGTAAAGGGCCATAAATTTTGGAGAGATTGGATAGTGATTCATGGGGTCTTTTGCCAAGTGCTAGGATGTTTCCGATGATTGGAAAAGGGTTCGGACCTGGCGGAAGTCCGGCCGGGCTGGGCTTCCTCACGGCAGAGCTAAACCGGTAGACATGAATGCATGCCCACACAAAGGAGATAACAAGGGCTAAGGTTAGATAATCCATTGGTTTGTGTTTTTGTTTGTTGCTTTGTGATCCATATATACTTATGGAAAACCCCTTTTAAGGTGTGGGAACTTTGAATTTCAGGCCAAACATTCGGGTAAAGTTAACTAACATGTTAGGTTTCCTTAGGTGTAGGCCCACAAAATTAGTACCAATTAAAACTCATCACCATGGTTTCTTGCCGATTTAAATCTGAATGGGTCATATTTTGATAATTCAAATAATTTATTTTATAGATCTTCTGTGTATATTATCAATAAAAAAAATTAAGTCGATCCGATAATTATAATAGTTTCATTTTATTCATTTGACTTCAAAAATATAGATGGTTTATTTTCAAAATTACACTTGTCTATTTTTTCAGAAACAAACATGATGCAATGAAAAGACAACGATTGTTGAATCAACCTAATTTTTTTCACGGATAATATATAAAACATGAGTAATTTCCATTAGAGCCCATACCAAATGCTTAAACTCTTGAGAAAAGTATGAGTTATGGTGAGCCATGTCAATGGAGAAGAAGGTGTTTGATAGCAAATTAAGGGTGGTTTTAACTTGTAAAAGCAGCCTTTCCAATATCCACTTCTTGGCCATTGTCACAATTTAGTTTCACATAGTCAAGAAGCTCTTGTACCTTCGGTAGACATGAATGCATGCCCACACAAAGGAGATAACAAGGACTAAGGTTAGATAATCCATTCGTTTGTGTTTTTGTTTGTTGCTTTGTGATCCATATATACTTATGGAAAACCCCTTTTAAGGTGTGGGAACTTTGAATTTCAGGCCAAACATTCGGGTAAAGTTAACTAACATGTTAGGTTTCCTTAGGTGTAGGCCCACAAAATTAGTACCAATTAAAACTCATCACCATGGTTTCTTGCCGATTTAAATCTGAATGGGTCATATTTTGATAATTCAAATAATTTATTTTATAGATCTTCTGTGTATATTATCAATAAAAAAAATTAAGTCGATCCGATAATTATAATAGTTTCATTTTATTCATTTGACTTCAAAAATATAGATGGTTTATTTTTAAAATTACACTTGTCTATTTTTTCAGAAACAAACATGATACAATAAAAAGACAATGATTGTTGAATCAACCTAATTTTTTTCACAAATAATATAAACAGAGGGCCTTATAAAATGAATAATTTGAATTATTGAAACGAGAATTATGGTGGCCACATGAACCCAATCATGACGGTCAAAATCAGATTAAAATATTAGAAAAGTCCACTTCTGTTTTTTATTTATTTATATCATATCAAATATATTATTTCGTGTGACGCATTACTAACGTAGTAAATCACATATGAATTCTATTATGAAATATACAACAATTGTGGGTGTCACCTTAAATTATACACTAAGGAATTGTTCGGAAAGAACTATATAAGTGTACTTTTTGATTTTTTCAATAAAAAAGTAGAGGAAAAAAAGATGATTGTTTAGGATAACTTTTTGACTTTTTACAAAAAAATATGTATTAAAATATTGTATAAAATAAAAAAATTACCGAATTACCCCTAATGCCCCCTAGGCGTGTACTGACAATGATAGTTTAGGAAGCCAATTAGCTGTGTTGCTTTGAAGTTGTGTGGTGGACTGGATGGTGCTGTTCAGCCCATGGAGTCCCACCACGGTTTCCGTTTTGATAATTCGAACCGTTCAATATGTAAAACTCGTCGAGTACTATATGCTTATAAAAAATCAAGTTGATTGGATATCGATAGTTATCTCATCGGATCAGTTTTTTGTCAACCGTTAATTTGTTCACCATCCATTTTTTTATACAAAATTGATTTTTTACAAGCATATAGTATTCGATGAGTTCTATACATTCAACGGTTCAAATTATTAAAACAAGACTCTTGATGGACCCCTACGAGCCGAACAATACTGTCTTCTGTAACTTTTTTGTGCACCGTTTGTGTAAATTTGTACCATCACTTCACAGTGTACCATCACTACAGTGGCCACAGTTGACTTGTACTTTTTTCCTGTGTAAATTTGTTGTTTTTATATTTTTTTTTTGTGAATAGTGATAATTTTTTGACTTTTTTAATAACTTTTTGACTTTTTATCTTTTATAAATTATGCCAAACTAAACCTAAATATAATATAAAAATACGATACAAACATGTCTAAGGCAAATACAAAATAATGAGCCTCAACCTTCCCATTTCAAATACAATTCATAAACATGAATAAATAAATAAATTTTAAGACAGATTTCAATGCATACTAAAATAAATTTGACAGTTCAAAAATCACAAATGAATTAAAACTCCTTTGTACCGTGTGGTCCACTGGCTTGTTGAGTTATCAATGTCAAATGGGTTGGAGTTGATAATGCATTTTCTATGAAGACAAATAAAAATATTAGCAAGTCAATATTATCAAATTGATGTTTAACTAGTGAAAATAAAGATATGGGCCAAAACTAATTTTTAGGGAAACAAAACATAGACATTATACGATAACCATCTTTATCACCCATGTTATGCACGGAATAAAATAATATATTATTTAATAAAAATATAATAATTATATTTAATTTTTTTATATTTTATAAAATAAAAGTTAAATAGAGCTAACTAATCAGGATTTTCTTGATTGTTTAAAATTAAGAAAATCAAAAAAATTAGTATAAGATATTGATCATAAGGTTCCTCACTAAAAATCTCATTTTGCTTTTATAAATGGAAGTACAAGACTCATTTGATGTAAGCCAAACAATTCACTTTTTCCTTCTTTTTTTGATACGGGATTATAAAATAAAAGTTAAACGAAAGTTAGCCAATGGAGATTTTCTTAATTGTTTAAAAGTTAATAATAGTTTGGGTGAGAAGTTTATTTCGAATCAAGTAATCTAAGCCGTTTAATCTTTAATTAGGTAATCTTTAATTTATTTCGAATCAAACAAATTTAATCAATATATTTTGATAAAACCGCTAAAATTGCAGTTAAACCGGCGAATCAATCAAACCGAAAACGATTCACCCTATCGGCTAAGTCAAAGGACCAACCAGCTTATACAAAAAATTAATTGATTAAAACTTTTAAATCCTATTTTAATTTTAAAATTTAAACTGTTTTGAACTGAAAAATACACAACACTACAATATTAAATGGGAGCATAAGGTTTATACAGTGAAACAACTCATTTTTTTTCTCTTTTTCCTGCTGTGAGATTGTAAAATAAAAGTAAACAATTGTTTGGATGAGAAGTTCATTTCTAATCAAGCAATCTCAGTTGTTCAATTTTTCGTAATGTCAATCTTAGTTTATTTCAAATTAATCAAACTAAACAATATATTTTGATAAAACAGCTAAAACCGTGGTTAAACTATTGAATTAGTCAAACCAAAAACAATTTAACCTAATCGGCTAAGTTAAAAGACCAACCAATTTACAACAAAATTAATTAATTAAATTCTTTAAATTTTATTTTAAAATTTAAACCATCTTGAACTGAAACATGCACAATACTATAATATTAAATGACAGTATAAGATTTACTTTATATAAGTGAAACAACTCACTTTTTATTTCTTTTCTCGATGTGGGATTGTAATTATTATAAAATTAAATATTATGAGAGTTTCAAAATCTCATACAAAATTATTTTTAAAATCAAAACGTTTATGTTGACTTGTAAAATAAAAATTAAATGGAAACTAACCAATGAAGATTTTCTTTTAGAATGTGTTTGATTTGAATTTTTCGAATTAAGTTTTTTGAAAATTGAATTTTTTGATTTTCGTATTTTTTTGTTTTTAATGAATATTTTAAAAATTTTAAACATTTTTTTTACTTTTTTAGATGCACCTTACTTAGATATATCTAAAAAGTAAAAAATCTGTGAAAAAATATTTTAAAAAATTAATAAATACATAAAAATACAAAAAATGTACTGAATTTTTGTATTTTTATATTTTTTTTGTATTTTTAGTATTTAGTGAATTTTTGAAAGATTTTTTTACAATTTTTTACTTTTTAGGTATATTTATGTTAGGTATGTCTAAAAATTAAAAAAAAAAATTGCTTAAAATATTTAAAAATATTAGTAAAATCAAAAAAAAATACGAAAAATAAGAAAGTAGAATTTTCTGAAAAGTATTTTTGAAAAACTCGAACCAAGCAAAGTGGTATTGATCATAGGGTTTCTCACAAAAAATCTTCTTTTGCTTATATAAATGAAACAATTCACTTTTTCCTTCTTTTTTCGATGTGAAATTGTAAAATAAAAGTTAAATTGTAGCTAACCAATAAGAATTTTCTTAATTGTTTAAAATTAAGAAATTTTAATAATTTATATAAATTAGAATATAAGATTCACTTTATGTAAATAAAACAATTCACTTTTTATATTTTTTTTTTTTCGATTTGAGATTGTAAAATAAAAGATAAATATAAACTAACCAATGAGAATTTTCTTTTTTTTGTTTAAAATTAAGAAAATTCAATAATTTTAAAATAAGAGTTTGGAGCTTCTAGAAAACTTTTCCCTTAAAACTCTCTTTATAAGATTCATTTATATAAGTGAAACAACACTTTTTTTTTCCCCCGATGTGGGATTGTAACACTTTATATAAGTTAAACAGCTCACTTTTTCTTTCTTTTCTCGATGTGAGATTGTAATTATTTTAAAGTTAAATATTTTGAGAGTTTCAAAATCTCATACAAAATTATTTTTAAAATAAAAACTATGTGAAATTATAAAATAAAAGTTAAATGGAAGCAAGCCAACGGGGATTCGCTTAATTGTTTAAAATTAAAAAAAAAAAAAAAAAGAGTATGAGATATTGATCATCGGGTTGCTCACTAAAAATCTCCTTTTGCTTATATAAATGAGAACATAAGATTTACTTTATGTATGTAAAACAATTCGCTTTTTCTTTCTTTTTCCAATGTGGGACTGTAAAATAAACGGTAAATGAAAGCTAGTCAACAAGAATTTTCTTAATTGTTTAAAATTAAGAAAATTCAATAATTTTAGAATAAGGGTTTGGAGCTCCTAGAAGGCTTATCCCTAAAAATCTCATTTTCATTATATAATATATAAATAGATAGTGAAACAAACTTTGCTTCTTTTTTTTTTTCTCCTGATATGTGGGATTATAAAATAAATCATAAATTAATTAGGGTTTTATTTTTATATGGTTAAATAGAAGTTAACCAATGAATTTTTTTTAATTGTTTAAAATTAA